GTGAAATATCATACGACCTCGTTCAAAAAAAAGAAAAAGAAAATCGTAACAAACCTATTCAAACTTTCGTTCCAATTTTTAAATTGAAAATATTAAATCTTCTCATTGGAAAAAAAAAAAAAATCTCTCCCGCTAATTAAACACGTTAAAAACTCGTCGAGCCGAGTGAAAAAAGAGGAACAACGGCACACATAAGATTATAACACTGTTGTGTTTCACAATCCATTACTATGGGAATAAAATGTATACATTGCGAAACAAAACAAATACCGGTACGATCCTCTTCAAGAAACAAAAAAAAAAAAAAAAAAAAAAAAAAGAAAGAAAGAAAGAAAGAAAAAAGAATCTTTCCACATTGTCCATTGAATTGTCGATCGATTATCGATTGGTAAATATATAATACTCATTTCCCCACGCCACGTTTTCTTATTCTATTATTTTTCCTTTTCCTTTCTCCCTTTATTATTATCGATTTCTGTGCTTTACTCGATTACATAATCTTCCATTATTATTATTATTCCCCCCTTTTTTTTCTCTTTTCCTTGTACGCATTTTTAATGCCACTTTTACATGCACAATCGATAACACAGCGCGATAAACAATGAGCATTAAACCGATCGATAATCGATAAAATCGAACAGCAAAAGTCAAAGAAAAGACTCCATTGCTGAAAAAAGGATCCATCAAAATTCATTTTTCAATCGAATAACAAAAATCAGATAGAAAAAAATCGAACAATACGAAAAGACTCCCTGACAATTAAAAAAAAGAAGAAGAAAATTCGTTCAAGTAGTTCATATAATACAATCGAGAGAAGGAAAGAGAGAGAAAAAAGGGAACATCCTGTAAAGCACTGTACAATATAATCGCGTTAATAACGGCAGCAGGTGCTACGATCGATGTAATAATGGAAAAATGCAAATTAGTGTCTCACGCGACGTGAAAGTTGCATAATGCGACAAAGGTCAACGAGCGTAGCCTTGCGGTTTACATAAAACGTGTCTGAATCGGTTGGAAGCTTCGAGGAAAACAAAACCCGACGACGACTCGTTATTCCTTCCACAATTATTAAGACGGTACAGTTAAAAGGATGCGACGCGGTAAAATGTTTGTTTTTCTCCTTTTTTTTTTTTTTTTTTTTTTTTTTTCTCTCTCCTCAAATTAACGAAGATAATCACGGGCTCGTCCCGCGAGGAAGAACAATAGCTCGTGAAAGCGATCCATGAAGGTTTGCCCGAGCGGGAACATCGATTGGAGGTCATTAAAGGGGGATGATGACTTTCTTCGGGTGCAGTCGTCGGTGAAGCGGAGAATGTCTCATGAAACATAAACGTTGTGTGTACTCGTCGTGATTACACGTAAATAGATATAAATACACTGCTAATAAAAAGACGTGGAATTATTATTTGTATATTATGGTATAATGATTCGTTAGTTTAGTTTGTTTATTAATTCCAATGGAAAGTTCTCGTTTAAGCGGATTTTTGAAAAAAAAGGAAATTTACTGATCATGATAACGAATGACGAGTCTCTTTTAGAGAAGTTAAATAAAATATTCAGAACAGGGAGAACCTGTCTGGTTCCTCCTTTCAATTTCGATTCGTGGCTGGTATTGTATGTTGTTCCCTCCTCCATGTTAATCTGCTTACCTTAAAACCTCGTGTGTCTCGTTCATTATCAATTATTTTTTCCTTCTTAACATCTTGTTAATTTCGTTCAAAGTAATTCTACGTGGAAAATAATACGTGGTTTTAAAAAATTCTTCAAGGGATGATTTCCAATTCGCTTGCTTTCATTCAGAGACAACGGGAAACGTTCTCATTGTCTCTGAGTGCGCATTATTCTCGAAACAACGTGCGTTGATCCGTATGCAAGGTTACCGCATTGATTCGACATTGATAATGAGGGAGGCGCAGGTACAACGAACTGTCAACCATTACCTTGCTTCCTGACGCGCCTAAGCTTGTTTAACGAAATAATCGCGTGGAAAGTTTAACTACTGTTTCTAATTTCCATAGTGGTTGATCATTCATCGCGATTTAAATCGCATGTTTACACGAAACAACAATATTCTTTATATTTTATTGCAACTTAATTACAGGTTACAAAAGGTATATAGTGTGGATTTAAAATTTTAAAAGAGTAACGAAGAATTATCAAGTATGAAGTTAAATTTTATGTTAATTTTAGGATATGACATAATTATAAAAGATGTGTCTTTTACCTTTTTCTTTATAAATTTCGATATTATTACCATAATAATTCTTTGTTATGCATATGATCGAATAAAATTGTAATATTATAATATTCGTGATTAATTTTTCGAATTAATAATTGCTTTCGAAATTATTAAATCGGGATAAAAGAGTAACTAAAAATTATCAAGTATGAAGTTCTAAATTCTATGATAATTTTAGAATATTATTCTTTCTAATTATTTCTAAAACATAAAAAATGTGTCTTTTATCTTTTTCTTTACAAATTTCGATAATAATATTCGTGTGATTAATTTTTCGAATTAATAATTGCTTTCGAAATTATTAAATCGGGATAAAAGAATAACTAAAAATTATCAAGTATGAAGTTCTAAATTCTATGATAATTTTAGAATATTATTCTTTCTAATTATTTCTAAAACATAAAAAATATGTCTTTTACCTTTTTCTTTACAAATTTTCTATATTAGCATTATTAAATCGGGGTAAAAGAGTAACGAAAAATGATCAAGTATGAAGTTAAATTCCATGATAATTTTAGAATATTATTCTTTCTAATTATTTAACTAATTATTTAATTATTTAATAAAACATAAAAGACGTATCTTTTACCTTTTTCTTTACAAATTTCGACATTATCATAATAATATTTTATTCTCCATATGAATAAAAATTGTATTATAATATTCGTGTGATTAATTTTTCGAATTAATAATTGCTTTCGAAATTATTAAATCGGGGTAAAATAGTAACGAAAAATTATCAAGTATGAAGTTAAATTCCATGATAATTTCAGAATATTATTCTTTCTAATTATTTAACTAATTATTTAATTATTTAATAAAACATAAAAGACGTATCTTTTACCTTTTTCTTTACAAATTTCGACATTATCATAATAATATTTTATTCTCCATATGAATAAAAATTGTATTATAATATTCGTGTGATTAATTTTTCGAATTAATAATTGCTTTCGAAATTATTATATATAAAGGGATAAAGAGAAACTGTATGCGTCATGTGCAGCAATCGTCGCAATAATCGTTATTACACAAAGTTAAGGCAAGATTAATTAAGAACTCGAGAGGCTTTCATCAGCCTCGATCATCGTCGCAACTTCCGACGCGCAATCAGCTTCTCGCGGATAAACGTTTCAACAATAAACAATTAAACGATAATACCAGGCTGGAATGGTAACAGTAGCCGATCTTTTATCGTTTTGTTTGTATCCTTTCACAGTTATCTTCACAGTTTTATCAGTTGCACAGCGGTTCGTCGTGCGACTTCTCCTATGCATATACGCAGATAATTCGTACAGCCACTCGCAAAAGTCTTCGCTTACTCTCTCTCTCTTTTTATTTAATTTCACTTAAGAAATATTATTTACCAAATATCTTATGAATTTCCCCTTTTCATAATTTTGAATCTATAAATTTTTATTCCAAACTCCAAAATCCTTACTTTTTAAAAATTTGTATATAAAAATTCCAAAAAAAAAGAAAATACTTCGCTATATTGCAAAAAAAAATGAATTTCCCCTTTTCACAAATTTTTTACTCCAAAGTCTCTACTTTTTAAAAATTTATATATAAAAATTAAAAAATACTTCGTAAAAAAAAAAAAAAAAANAAAAAAAAAAAAAAAAAAGAAATCTTCAACTTCCTTTCCCTTCAAAATAAGAAAGGATAGTTTTCTAATCAAAAAGAGTACCCACATACTTCTGCGTTCGACTGTGTAAAGATGCGCATCCCCCGCACACGAAACGTTTATACGTGCACGTACGCCCGTTGCATAGATATGCGAGGAGAGTCGGATGCGAAACCATCCTCCTCTCCGCGTCATCTCTTTGTCTCCTGTTACTGAATCGCTGGTTTGGTATACCGCGACAAGACGCAAATGAGACGGTGGATAAATTAGAAGTGGCTGATGGCGACCCTTAATTAACAGAAATAACAGACCGAGCCACCGGCCGTGCTCGTATGAAATATGCGCGCGTTAATTGACACAAAGCGAACGGGGAGGAGGGGGGGGGTGGAGGGATCTCGGTGGATTAATGTAAATGTCACGAAGGGATATTTTCACTTAACGAACGAAACGTTCCTCTGCGTTGGATGGATGCGCGGTCAAAGATTAAGAGAAATAGCGATGATTTCGACGAGATATCGGGGACGAGTGTACATGTGATTTACAATCTTTCGAGTATGGAGTAAATTGAGTGGAATAATAGGTGGAAATTGTAACGTGGTAGAAAGTTTTGGAAATTGAATTGAGAGATGAAAATTGTTTGGCTATTTTACGAAAGAAAGTTGATGATGTTACAAATACGATACTTGAAATGTTGTTGGTTTTATTTCGAGTGAATTTTCGTATCTGACTATGATTATGATTCTTTTTTTAAGCCTCGTGATATAAATTCATTGGTATTTTGTAGAATGAAATTTAATCTTTGATAGAATTTTTCCAATTTTATCTTTTTTGCAAATAACTCGTGTTTGTCGATAAAGATTTTATTAGTTTTTAAACAGCATTGCATACGATACAATACAGAAATCGTGGATAAAAATTTCGCTCTAAAAATATTTCGAAATTCTATTCCCTCAAACAAGAGACGGCTATTAATTTTTCCCCAAAATATCTCTTCGATATTTCATCCGAGATTCAATGTCAGGTTTCAACCTCATTATCATAGAACGTAAAAAAGAAAAAAAAAAAAAAGAAAAAGAGAAAAGAAAAATACGTTCTTGGGCATTGTTCTAACGCACCATCGATATTTCATTTCAGAGTCCTGGAACGCTGCACAAAGATGTCGGTGGTGCTGGTACCAAGGTCAGCGGAAAGACGGTCGGCGGTGTCGGCACTGCAACCCTTACCACGCTCTCTTCCATTAATAATACATCCAATACCAGCCGGAACAAGAACAATCCCGTATCTCAAGAGGTAAGTCGAATAGATCGTATAATTTTTAGATCAGAGATCGATGCCGGCGTGGATCGTATTTCCAGAATTTTTGTCCCGAACATCAATTCATCTTGAATTACTCGAAATTTTTAGATTTCTGATTTCAATAAAATCGATAAAATCTTTCGATGGAGGGATCGATCGACGACTCTCAATGAATTTCAATCCTTGATTTTTCGTGCGTTCATTCAGGATTTAATAATTAATTTAATTTTGAAAAAATTGGCAAATCGAGTATATCGAATATATATTTTATTTTATGTCCAATTTTCATTTTTGTTGATATCTTCTTCAACAGTTTATTTATGATATAATCATCGCTAAACGATATCGAATATAAATTATTCGATATAACTATATAGAGAGGTCGTGGTTTTAATTGCAATATGTGATCGAAATACACAATGGCATAATTCTGAATGGTATCTTACATAATGTCAGACGATATATACTGATCAAATATGAATAGATACGTTATTAAATACCAAACATTATTCGATATCTCATTAAATACCAAATATTATCAGATATTGAAAAGGCATCGCTTTAATTGGCATCCTTTGACGATGCTTTGACATGCACCAAACACCTCTCATTTAAGTGTTAGTTATCGGCGGACCCGTCTCTAAGAGAGCATTTACGCTCTCGGACACATGATGGATCTATTCAGTAATTGTACCTTGAGAATTAAATTTACGACTGCATTTGGTGAACTTCAATATTACTAATTGCATTTCCTGCTTTAATCTTTTTTTTCTCATCGTTCAATGCCTCGCTCAAAATATCGTTAAAAGAGAAACTTTAATTTTCTATTCGTATTAAAAATTTCTCTCTCTCTCTCTCTCTCTTTCTATTAAATTTAACTCAAGAATTTATCCATTTTCTTCGTTTTTCACACTCATTCTTCGAAACACGCTAAATCAATCGCTAATATTTGTCAAAGATATGTACACATCACAATTGTTGAGCATAAATTGGTGGTATTAAATACTTACACTTGCGCATAATGCGGTTATTAAAATTGATTGGCCATGAAAAAGTTGAGAGAACGTGTACAAGTAGAGCCTCGATTAATCATCTTAATCGGGAGACAGACGGCCCATATAAATGTTGATAACCAATCGAAATATAATCGAGAACAAAAATTATTATTTCCTGTATATACACGTATCTCGTTTGTATATTCTTCACAATTTAATTTTTTATTGCATCACGTTAACAATACAAATCGTGTCGAGCTCTAATTTTTTCTTTTTTTTTTGTGATCGTGAATAATCAGTGAAAGCGTTGCACAACTTTCCAACCTTCTAACCGAATGATTTTTTTTTATTCTTTTATTTTTTTATTCCTCGTGACACAGTTTCTTCAGGTAAAAGCCCTTCTCTCTCTCTCTCTCTCTCTCTCTCTCTCTCTCTCTCTCTCTCTTTCTACCCGCCTATTTATTCAACCATTCAATAATATTCGGTGGCACAAGGTGATACGCGCAAAAATAATTACCCTCGACAGCAGCAGCTCGTCGGCTCTTACGTTGCCATGCACACGACGACGAAATCGAGGTAGTAACTCGCCTTGACTTCGCCCCTCCCCCTCGCGCCACTCTCAGTTCAAAACTGGAACGAGCCAGAAATTCGACAACTTTCGATCGATCTCATCGTATTAATAATCGTCGGTTTCATCATCGAACGAGGGGGACTTAATCGCGCGGCAATTAAGTAATATTCTCTCGTGCGATCATTTTCACACTTCCATCGTAAAGGGAGTGGAAGGATTTTAAAAAAAAGAAAAAAATTAGAGAGATCGATTAAAGACGAGATTAACGTGAAAAGTCAAGATTAAATTTAATGGGAATAATTTTTATTTATATTTTTTTATTTGTTCCTTTTTTTTTCTTTTATTATTATTTTTATTATTATTATTATATTTCAAGATACGAGTCTGTTTATCTAAATTCATTTGAACGAAACTTTTAATTTTATTTTATTGAATTTATCCGTTTCGAATTATCTAGTTGTTCGTCTATTAGATTTCTAGATTTCAGAAATTTACGATTAGTTAGCTTTTCAAGTTCACTCTCAACGATTCAAATTTACAGATAATTCTTGCTTCTTCTATAAATTCATCTTTATCCACAATAAAAATCATAGATGTAACAAAGTTGTATTACAAATAGAAGGAATACTTAAGAATTCTTACAGTTTTACAGTAAGAAATAAATTCGTATTTTTTACATACAATTCGTTCATGGGATATATTTTTCTAGATACAACATTTTAACCCCCAAAAAATTCATCGATAAAAATCATAGGCAGAGTGAATTCTTATTCGCTTTTACGTGAAAAATAAATTTAGAAAAAAAATATTTATAAGAAATTTTCTAATACACTCTCTGCATGATAACTCACGCATAATTCTTCCCTCTTCCGCGAATTCGCTTGTATCCCTGATAACATTTCACCTAGTGAATCAGACGCGTCTTTCCTCGCGATATTTCATCCGGTTCGATCGACTAATCCTCCTGGGTCGTGCATGTCGCTACACATTACATATTTCTACGATGACCTCGTGCATAGAGCTATGGTTTCCAACATCTGCTTCCGTCGCATCGCCGCCATTTTTTCTTCGTTCTCTCTCTCTCTCTCTCTCTCTCTCTCTCTCTCTCTCTCTCTCTCTCTCTTTCGTTCGCTCGCTCGCCTTATTTCTCTCCCTTCTTCGCGTATCCTTCTTGTCCTCCTTTTTTTTTTTTTTATTTTATTTTTATTTTCTTTTATATATCGCGGCGTTATTATGCGGCAAAGATGATCGAATTTCGTTGCGTCGCGCTTGTTGCGCAATTGAAGCCGACGCACGCTGCCGCCTTCGATCCTGAAACTAATTTTCAAGCATTCTGTTCTAAACCACGTCAACGAGTGCAAAGGCAATACGTGAAATACGCGATGGTTTTTTGCCACTTTTCTCTTTGTTCTCATTTAACGATATTGCGTTTGTTTCGTTTTTCTTTTCTGTTATTTTTCTTTCTTTCTTTTCTTTCTTTGTTTTTTTTTTTTTTTTTTTTTTTTTTGATGCTTTGTTAATTGATTTGATCGTTCGATACTTTAAGGATTTGTGATGAAATATTCCGTTTAGGGTAAGTAGATTCTAGGGAAAAAGAATTTAAGTAGATTCTAGAGAGAGTTTCTTCCCTAGAGTAAATTCTAGGGATTCCTAGATGAAGATTGGTAAAGTTAGCAGAAATGACGTGATAAATATCAGTTATCATAAATTGTTGTTAATATTTGTTCCAAATTGATGTCATATACTCCATTTTTTATCGTGCAGTATCAATTATTGAAATAAGCTAGTTCGATAAAACACGAATCTAAATAGATCAGCTGTTCGCTAATTCCAGATAAAAAGAAGGATTATAATAACTTTTAATACCTTGTTCTAATACAAGTTCTAACTGTGAAAATTAGCTTCCACGAGGAAGTACGAAAGGAAGTAATTTTCTTCATCGTAGAAAATTGATAAATCTAGATCTCTCTTCGCGTTCTGTTGTTATAAAATGTAAATAAATCAATTATCACTTTCCATTTTCAGACCCGTTCCCTTCGGAAAATATTAATTATTTTGTACATTTCGTTCTCGTATTGCGTATCTCGCGAACAAAGAGATTAAGAGAGAGAGTTGGATACGTTACGTGGGTAAATATCCAAGCATGGAGCTCGCAGTGTGCGGTTTAATCGGGCTAATTCATACGTGAATTTAGAAAGTCCATTGCCGGGATTTGCATCTAATTGTTTCGCAGCTTGTTGCGCAACTGCCATGCGAAAGTCCCTAGTGTTCCTGTCCGACTCTTTCTCTCTTCCTCCCTAGTTGTCGCTTTCGAGCTCAGGGGGAGAGGTGGAAAAGCTCATTCGTAATGGAGAAATAAATAAGGAAGGTATCATAATAAGCGAGATGTTGTTGGTTGGGATTAGATAACTGTGGTTAGTTTTTGATTTATTTCACTACGTTATTATAGAGTAGTAGTAGTTTATGATGTAGTAATATGCAACTGTAATAGAAGAAATAAATTGTTAAAATTGTGAATTTACTTAAGAAACGTGCTTTTTCCATTCATATTTTTACGAGTTATAATATTATTGCGATAAATGAATTTAAAAGTGAACAAGTTTAAAACTAGTTACTACTACTAGTTACTTTTCTTTATCGCTACATTCTATTATTTATTTATTTAGACAATTGCTTTCCTTCTTGATATTATATTAATATTCAAGACAACAATAAAAGTATTCATGCGTGGCTATATTAATAACGGTGAAAGACATACATCCTTTTGTGTATGTGAACTATATATTATATTTATAGATTATAAAAGAGATCATGACGAGTTTTACCTTTATTATTTTTTTCAAGGAAAAGAATATATGTACGTATCTTTCCTAGATTATCTTCAAGTTCTAAAAGTTTAAAAAAATTGATATATCTCCATGGTATATAAAAAGTACACTTGATTCTTACACTTCTCGATATGGGTTGAGATTAACAAATTTCTCAGTAGGTCGCGTTTTTTTTTTTTTTTTNTTTTTTTTTTTTTTTTTTTTTCCTTTTCTTTTCTTTTGATATCGAGAATTGTGCAGCGTGACGATGATAAGAACGCGCGTTGCCCACCGCAGATTGAGCAGATTACGTCGACGATGGAGAGGAATTAATCGGAAAGTTGTCTCCTTGAAACGTCGGGCTGATCCGTCATGCGATTCTCTTTTGTCTCTATTCGTGACCGTGTAGTTAGATCGTACTTATATAAACGAGCAGAGATATTTTGTTTCTCGAGGTAGTAATACAGCAGAGGTATATATTTGTAAGTTTACGATTCAATGTTTTTTTTTTCTTTTTTTTTTTTTTTTTTTTTTTTACATTCTTCGTGGCCTATATCGATGGGGGAAAAGCGGATTTTTTTAAAAGAATTTTTACTTTTGCCGACAGAGCCTGGGGCTTTA